GCCCAAAGCAAAGCCAGCGTCCAGGTCCAAAGTGTCTGTCCCGTGGTGGAGTGGAGCTGGCACAGCATCAACCTAATTCTGGTCCATCGGTCCACATGTGTGCGGTCCACATGGCTGTGGGCCCTGTGGGCGAGTACAGAGCCTGGGAGCATACCCCCTGAGAGCACAGGAGTCCCAAAAGAGCAAGAGGGCCCGGACAGCAACTCTCTGTGTTCAGGAGCTGACGTCGCTCAGATTTTGTGCCCATCTTGGCCAATGACCACCTCCCACGTGTGACTGACAGACAAGCTTCCTCTCTACATCATTTAGACTTTACTGCATGAGTCTACTCTTTCTTTGTCCAGTCCCTTCCCCCAGGATCTGCGGGGAATGGACCTGGAGAGTATTAAGCTGCAGCTTTCTGGCACGAATGGCATGCCTGTGTTATCTGGCCTTTCCTTTTGCTCCTTTCCGTTAATTAATTAATATTACAATGGTATCAAAACTAGGGATATTACAACGATATTAAAACTAGGCTTGGATACTTAATGAGGCTAGGGCCTGTATGTCCCTTGGTCACAAGAGAGAACAAGTTATCCTCAACTGAGAATGGCACAAATGCATGCAGAAGGGGTGCCAGCCAACAAAACCGGGACACTGTCTCTGACCCATGCGTGGGACAGCCGCCTACCATGTTTCCCAAGGGCCTCACACCCCTTGTTTTCACAGAGTGGCAGAACATGGGACTTGAAGCCAGAAGAAACCTGCTCTTGGATTTATCGTATTTTAGGCTTGGACAAGGGCTTAATATCTGACAGCATCAGAGTTCTTGAGTCACGTGAAGTTGATGCTGCTGAACTGCCCACAACAGTCACCATCAGACATTTAATGAGCACTTACTACCTGCTAGGCGCTGTTACTAAGTGCACTCGGCAATGTCTCCCTCGATCCCAGGTTCTGTGAGGTGGGCACGATCCCCTCCATTTCACAGATGGGCCTACTCATAGCTCTGCCCAACTTGAGGACGTGAATGAGAGGACACACCAAACACTCACTCATTTGTGGAATATAATGAACAACATAAACTGATGAACAAAAATAGATCCAGAGACACAGAAGCATCGAACAGACCATCAAACTTCAGAGGGAAGGCAGGGGAGGGGTGGGCGGGGGTGGTAAGAGATCAACCAAAGGACTTGTATGCATGCATATGAGCATAACCAATGGACACAGAAATAGGGAACCAGATATCAGATTAAGCCAGATTAACTAGGAGAGGGCAGTTCCAGTCACTCCAGGCATCCGAGTAGGCAGGAAAGATGCTTTTTGGTCCCCCAGGAAGCACCCAGCACGCCAAGAAGCACCCAGCACCCCAGGAGGAACCCAGCACCCTAGGAAGCACCCAGCACCCCAGGGAGCACCCAGCACCCCAGGAGGAACCCAGCACCCTAGGAAGCACCCAGCACCCAAGGGAGCACCCAGCACCCCAGGAGGCACCCAGCATCCCAGGAAGCACCCAGCACTCCAGGAAGAAACCACACCCCAGGAAGCACCCAGCACTCCAGGAAGCACCCAGCACCCCAGGAAGCAACCAGCACCCTAGGAAACACCCTGCACGGTTCTGCCAGATTAACAGGAGGGGGTAGGGACCACGAAGGGAAATTCCTTTCACTCAGGGCATGTGCAGTAGAAGCCAAATGATGAAGCAGAACTCTGAGGCATGCAGAGAAGCCACATGGCAATCATAAAGGGGGACGGAGCTAGCCTGGGAACTTTGGGGGGAGATCAGATAGTATGAGGGCAAGAAACCCTGGAAAAGCAGGAAAGGGACTGGATAAAGGGAGAGCACAGGCAAAGCCCCAGGGAAAAGCCAGGAAAGAGACTGGATAGTGTGAAGGAAAGTCTGCTCTTTTCTGAACTCAAGAAAATATATGGAGGCTTGGCAGCCTGCCCACTCCACTTCTCCGAGGGTGTACTCTCTCTTTTCCTCTAATAAATCCTGCTGCTACCACTTAAACTCCTCCTACGTGTGTGTGTCCCAAAATTCTTTTCCTGGGACACCACAGAAGAATCCTATTTCCAGACTGTGAGGGGCAGCCCTGGGCTGGTCCTTCTCCAGTAACAATTCTACCTCAGGCATCCATCGAGAGGCCAGGTCAGGGTTTTAACAGACCAGCCTCCGATCCCAATGCACATCACCGCATTGCCTTGAGTAAATCCCTTTACCTCTCGGGGCCCCAGTTTCCTCTTCTATAAATAGGTACGATACTATCAAGACTGAAGAGTTGTGGTAAAAATCAAATGAGATAATGTATGTAGAGTACCCAACACAAGGCATGACCAAATGTTAACACTATCTCAAGGAGGCCTCCTCTTCTCTGTGTGCCCTAGGTCAGGCCTTCCAGTCTTCACCTGGTCTGACAAACGCCTTCTAGTCTTTCTGCCATCTGGACAATGCTCACTTCCTAAAATGCAAATCTAATCATGGAAGTTAACTGTTTAAATCTTTTGACTGGCTCTCAGCTACCAACTAGATGAAGTTCTAACTTCTTAGCATGACTTACAAGGCTCACTCACCTTCTGGTTTTATCTTCCTCCACTTTATTCCAAGTGCTTTATATTCCAGCTAGAGGCCCAATGCACAAAATTCACACAAGAGTAGGCCTTCCTTCCCCTGGCTGCCAGCACTGGCTTCCTTCTGGCACCCAGGACCTGGGTCTCCCCCCAGCTGCCGGAAGGCACCCGGGACCCAGGCTTCCCTCGCAGCCTCAGCTTTGTCCGGAAGGACATCCAGAAGGACGTCCGGCCTAATTAGCATATTATGCTTTTATTATTATAGATGAAATTTGTACTTTCTAGTGAACACCCCAAGGTCTTGCAGTGCTTTGCCTTTACATATGCTGTCCTTCTTCCTGAATGCCTTTCCCTTATTTTCCACTAAGCAAAAATTCCTACTCAATCTTTTAAGACAAAGCTCAACTGGTACTTCTTTTAAAATAAAACTTAATCCCACATAGAATTAATTACCCATCATTAATGGTTCCATAGCAGTTTTCACTGCCATTAAAATTACTTGCTAATATATCTTTCCCCACTCATTGAGGCAAAACTGTATCTTATTAGCCCCCAGAAGCCTAAATCGTGTGTGCATTCAGCAGTTCACTTAATGAATGAAACAATAAATTTCTTTTAAAAATAGGCTCTATTAAATCTTTCAACAACAAAAACCATATTCTTATTATGTTAACCAAACTTTCAAAGTTGAGTTTTTAAAAAGAATGGTTTTTCTCAAGTTAGCCTCTACCACCATGAAGCAAACCAATTTGCCCTAATGGCAATTGTAAAGGTTCATGGAGTAATTCTAGAGCCAACAACCTGTCTGAGTTCTGATCAGATGCATGCTGGCCAAGGGCCCCTTTTCAACTCCTCCTCCTCAGGCCCTGGTGGTCAGCCACTATTAGGAAGTGAAGTATTATTGTGAAAGAATGCGTCAATGAAGTGCAAACATCCTGTTACGTTCTTTCTCCAAATAAATGAGTTTGGTTCTATTGTAGTTTGCTTCTTAAGTCAGGAAACATAGCTCACATAAAAGTATTTCGGCAACGTTATTTGTGTAGGCTGAAATGTTAAAAGAACAGAAGAAACCCTCTTACATAAGAAAACTTCCTAAAATATACACAATTCAATTTCATGAGTAGTAATGTGTATCACTGTGAGCTAAAAGATGGCCTTGACAGTCATAAGAGACTCTTAAAATCTCTACTAGCCAAAGATAGCAACAGTGCCTTTAATTAGAAATTATGGAAAAAATACAAAATAAACAGAATCACCTTAGTCTTATAATCTTTTTAAAGAACTCAACATGCAAGTCACCAAAATAACCCATAACTTCAGAAAAACAAATTATGACTAAAGAACAAATATTCCATGATAATTTCTGGAAAACTATTTCTTCACTTAAAAAAAAAACCAACTTGGAAATTCAGGGCTGGAGCTTTCGGTCAAGATAGTGGAGTAAGTAAATACCGTACTCACCTTCTCCCACAACCTCATCAAAATTACAACTAAACTACAGAACAACCATCGAGAACTGCCTGAAGTGTAGGTCACAAGTCCTGTAACTAAGGATGTACAGAAGCACGTGGAGATGGGTAGAAGGGGTGGAGAGGAGCTTGTCCCACACCCAGGTGGGGTGGTTAAAAGTTAGAAGGGGCCCTGGCTGGTTTGGTTCAGTGGATAGAGTGTCAGCCTGTGGACTGAAAGATAACAGGTTCAATTCTGGTCAAGGGTACATGCCTGGGTTGCAGACTCGATCCCCAGTAGGGAATGTGCAGGAGGCAGCCAACGGATGATTCTCATCATTGATGTTTCTATCTCTCTCCCTTCTTCTCTCTGAAAGCAATAAAATATTAAAAAAAAAAAAAGTTAAAGGGCTATCTTGGGTGCGGAGGTCCACCTTGAGGAGCAAGAAGTCCCAGTCCTGTACTAGACTCCCCAGCCCAGGGTTCCAGAGCCAGGAAGCAGAAATTGTAAATGAGTGAGACAAAGGGCTGCTGGAGTCCCAGGTGTTCCCTTACAGGGCCCATGCACAGACTTACTCAGACTCACAGGCTCTGAGCCCCAGCGCTGGGCAGGAGCTCAAAAGTCTCCAGGGACATACAGGGAGGAACCGAACTGTCCAGCAAGGGCTGGAGGGGCAGCTTATTCCCAGACAGAAGTGCTGGCAGAGGCGGTTCCTTTGCTGGGTCCTCCTCCCACAGAGCTGGCAGACAGGTGCCATATCTGAGTCTCCATCAACCTGGCTCACCCTGTTTGCCCATCTGGTGATTCCCTGAGACCCTGCCCCACCCAACTTTCAGGCCCACCCAAGCCATTTCAAATGACTTTTCTGAAAATAAATAAATAAATAATCCGTCAAACTTTTTCTCACAAATAAATATATTATTTTACAACAAGAAAGAAAGAAAAATGAGACTGGCAAAGAGAGAAAACACCACAGATTTTAACTCAAATAGCAGAGCCATGATTAATTTTTAAAGTTTATTTGTCAATTTAAAAACTCACTAGTGGAATAAAGAGCTTAATATAGGCATGAAAAAGGAAGCCCCGTGAGGTTTTCACCAGGATGAAATGGGATTAGCTTTGTAGTTCTTATAATCTTCTTCACAGAAGAATGCAATTTCAGTTTCATTGGCTGAAAAAAAAGACAAACAGAAAATGGAAAATAATTTAAATGTGAAATTGGATTTAAATAAGTATGGAAACCCACATTACTCTGATTTAGTGAAAGTGAGAAAGATGAGTTATTTGTTTGGTTTCACAATTCACTGAATCAACAAGAAGTATTCACTGGAGTTATAAGAATCTAGAAATCAAGTAATTTAAAAGTAAAAAGAACAATAAACAAAAAAATTTTAAAAAATAATTAACACAAGAATCTGGTTTTCAGAAAATCATAAATTTGCTCATTTATGGTCCTCTTAACAGTCCTAGAACATAACAAACCTTTATTTTTTTCAAATTTGCTGCTCAATTACTGGAGGAAAACTCTTTTTTCCTCTGAAATTAGCCTGTAGGTATAATAATTTAATACTCAGAGGATCAGTAGAATATTTTACAGATCACTTTACATTCTCCCTCATGACCCATCAAAATATGTGTCTGAAGAAGTTAATTTTTTGCCTGCTTATGATTAATTCATGAGGCTTCAACAATATGCAAAGTGAAAGACACAAATTGGCTTCTACCTCAATACCTTCAAATACCTCTAATTATTCACAGGGGAAACGGCACAGCTAAAGGACCCGCAGGTTCAGAGCAGTCGCAATTCTTTCAACCTAGCAGGTCAAGGACTCTGTCTTCTAAAACAATAAGTCAGCAACATTATTAATTCAGACTGGAGACAAATCTGATGGAAAGCCTTCCAATTATTAAACATGCAATTCTTTAAGGTGTTGTGCCAACAAGTTCCACATTTGTTTTTTAAATTAAATCAGAAGTTAATACAGTCTGCTTAGCTTTTACAGAAAGAGCAAAAGGGCCTTCAGAATCTCGACAAGAAAACAGACAAGATTATTTGTAATGAATACTGATCAGTCAATTAACATATCCTCTAAAAGCAGACAAGTAAACTCTTCAAGACAAATAAATAGAATAATAAGGAGGGACGCCCAGGATTACCACTTCATTTACAACTCTCATCTCATCATTAGAATATGTCACGAAACAAGGAAATCAAACACTTAGTATGACATTTCATTAAAAATGTTTTTGCTGTTTTAAGAATATCAAATTTAATGTTTCTCAAGTGTAAGTTACCCATGCTCATTACAGCAAATACAGAAATGTTGAAGAAGAAAATAAAATCACCCATAGTCTCAGACCCTCATTCTAGTCCTCTACATGAAGATTCATCTTGATGAAAATCAGACTGCAAACTCTCATCACAATGAGCTTGGGGGGCGGAGGGGAGGGTACAGCAGAGAGAAACTGGGAATCAACGCGGAGGGTGCGTTTAGCTCATTGCACCCCCCAAAAGAAGCATTTAAAAGAACGGGTAAGAGGCTCCACACTAGGAACCAGTAAAATGTTGAAAGGGGACTTCAAAAAATCCAATATTCAAAGATAAGATATTTTGAGTGCTATCCTTTATATAAAAAGCTCCTGGGGTTTCCTTTTGAAGGGAAACAAACCTAAAAGTAACTTAATCATTCACAAGTGATTTAATCACCTTTCTAATGGAGAAGGAGCAAAAGCACCCTGTTCTTCATAATCACGACGCAAGGCTTCATCTACCACATGCAATTTACATACAGAACTCCCCCCAGCACTGCGCCAATACACACTACCTATAATGACAACGCTCACTTCCCCAGGCTGACATTTCTCTGTACCCCTTTTGAGAAACTAATACAGCGTACAGCTCTTCAGTATAGTAACAATAGGTCCAGAATAAGCTGATGTGAAGAAAGGACTGACAGAGCATTTTTCTTCTGACAGCAGGTTCTCTTGGATCTAATTAACTTATAGATCAATCCATTATTCATATAAAGTATTTATGCCACCTCTCATAATACAGGCTCAAATGAGATCATCTAAGATGAAGATTTTATTTTCAGATGAATGCATTTTTTTTTTTTTTCAGGAAAACTAGACTGGCAAATGAGTTAAACTCAAATTCATCAGGTTGATAAAATGTTTCACCCCTGCCGGGCCAGTGTGGCTCAGTAGTTGAGGACCAACCTATGAACCAGGAGGTCACCCTTCAATTCCCGATCAGGACACAACCCCGAGTTGCAGGTTGTAGGGGGCATGAAGGGGGCAGTCAATCAATGATTCTCTTTCATCACTGATGTTTCTCTCTCCCTCTCCCATCCTCTCTGAAATCAATAAAAATATATTTAAAATATTTTTCACCCCTAACAAATTGGAAAACAACACAAATTAAAAATTAGTTTCTCTAAACATTCAAAAGCAAGACATAAAATGGATTTTCAACTTTAGGATTGTGGTCCCCAAACAGAAATAGAATATAATGTTTCTTTTAAATCTGTAAAACTCTGTTGAAAATGTTGGAGAGAATGATTTCAAGCACTTATAATGCAAATTTAGTTGCCAATTAAAGTAAATGAATTATGAAAGATTTTCAAGACCTCTACATAATCACCCTTTCCACCATTATCCCTTAAATTCTTGCTTCCCAGATTCTATTCAAATGGCTCTGGAAGAGCCCCGGGAAGTCTGCCTGCGCTGGTCCTCTGGGCAGCTGACTGTAAATTAAAAGTGCTGCAGGCGGCAGTGCCTTCGGTGCCCGGCGCCTCGGCATGTGAATCTGAAATGAACATGCAATCTAAAATCCAATAAGTATCCTGCCAGTTCCTCCCTTTGTCTTACTAGTGAATGAAATCAAGAGCCCTCCAAATACATTTGTGGATCATTTTAACACTGACTTTCAATTTTAATGACATGAACACAAGCCAGCACATTCAAACTTTGGCTATAAAATCAGTAATTTTGTTTCCAAACAGCACACGCGCACACACACATCCCTACCTTTATCAGGAAAGTAATAATAATGACTTTATATAAAAACCAATTTTAAATGTAAAATCTCAAGGAAAATTTAATGCAATGACCTCAAACCCAAATAACATCTCAATGAACTGGCTACTGATGAGAGTTCATGGCAGTTTCCAGCCTGAGCCGCGTCCCCGTCGGCCGCGGTGCAGTGAGGCGCTGCAACTGCCGTCTGAGAAGAGAGATGGACACATGAACACTGACTGTGTGGTTCAGACAAAGAATGGTCGGCCAGGCTGTAATGTGATAATAAATGAAGATGACTGGCAAAGGAACCCCAAAAACAAACCAACAGGAAGAGCTAGGTGCGGATTCTGTAGCAATGTGAGACCCAAAGGACAAAGTTCACCCTCCTTCCTGCTCCGGGCAAATATCCTCTCCTCCCAAGTTTCATAAAATCCTAATCCACAAATCATTCACAACCGTGCCAGCAGCTGAGTTATATTTCTAAATGTTCACCAAAGGACGTCAACCATCCAGCAAAGACGGCCCCCCAACTACCGCGCGCTTATTTCCTATGCGCTCCAAGTGTCTGTTTCAGATCAGCGGGCAGAGATTTCAAACTACAGTTAGAAGAAAACAGATAGTGAAATAAATCTGACACTTGACAGGCAGGACACATGCCCGTGATTTCCACAATGGTGAGGGGAGGAGAGAAAAGAATGGCTTATAGGAGGCTCCTGGCCCCCTGTCTGGAGCCCCCACTTGTTGGGCCCACACCTCCTCTACCCGGCCCCAGACAATGGCTCCTAGTATGGCCTACTGTATCTTGTAAAAATTTTCCAATAAACCACAACTGGCTTTGGAAGCGTTTCCCTGGTACAATTTCTTTACTTTGCTAAACCAGAGAGGATTCAAAAAATGTACTAGTAACAGTTGTAGAATGTAGCAAAACAAAAGATAAAATACAGTAGCGCCAAAAAAAACCTTACATGCAAATTTATTGCTTAGGGGAATTAGTCCATAAAATTACAATAGTTAAAAACAAGGTGAACTTCTTTAAAGTATAAGTAACAATTCTAGGTGAAGCTTTTCCTTCCTTCCACAAAGCAAATCTTCTTACTTATGTATGCCAGCACCGGTCCACAAACACAAACTTCCCCCATCAGGCACAACATACAGTTGGGATCTGCAGTGCAGATAAAAGGCCAGAGCAGGAACTGGAGAATTCCTCTGTGAGAAAAGAAATCTTCAAACAGTTCTGTCCCCTGTATTCCCCCCTCCCAGTCTCTCTTTTTCCTTTCATGACTTCTGCAGAAAAGTCATCATGATAAATCTGTTACAATGGCATTATTCCCATGGCAACTGGCTGTGAGAGCAGAGTGACAGCTCCGCAGCGAGATCGGTGGTAAAGGGGAGAGTGATGACTTGGATTTTCCTCTTAAACCTCTTAAAAAGCCAACCAGAGCGGCCCCGAGGGAGGGAAAGTCCCCGAGGATAATCACACACTTCAAGGATCATTTCACACTGCAGCTCTCCGGGGACCTCCTTTCCTGTGCACTGTGGCCTGTTCTCCGAGTACATCTCTGCTGCTCTGGCGACAGCAGGGACAGTGAAAGGAGAGAATGGGCCCAGCAGTGACCGAAGTGGCCCCTGACCAGGGCTGCGGGCTGGCCAGCGCAGGAGCGCAGTGGACGTCCTTGTACCGCCCAGAGACTAGCGAGAACTCGTACGAAGGATCTGACTCTGATCAAAGGCCTATGGCCTGAAAACGAGGAAGACAAACTGATGGAATTGGTTCTCGCCTTTACAACAGGTGACTCAGTATGTGAATCTGAAATTAATGACAATTAAACCAACAATTCAATATTTTAATAAATTTAAACCATTTGCCAATTGCCTTCTCCAGAATGGTTCCTAAATAAAATAAATATTTTTGAGGGCCTTTGCATGCATTTCTCCGGATGCTTTCGTATCCATGTTTTTACTCATCTCTATGACGAGTCTCTGAAATAGGTTTAATTTCTGAAATAGGTTTAATTACTTCTGTTTTGTTTTACAGAAGTCGAAATAGAAGTTCAGAGAGGCTGAATGGCTTACAGAAAGTCACAAAGCAAGTAAAATGTGAGCCTTCATTCAAATCAATTTTCTCCAATTTTAGGACTTTATTCTCTACAAGTAATAGATGTAAACTGTAGACAAATCTTAAATTACAAGAACAATTAGATAGTATGGTGAGGGGAAAAAAATCAATTTTTAGCCATGTCACCTCCCTGAGAAATCATTTCTTTTCTCCATATACAAATACAGATATGTAAATATGTACATTTTTAAAAATATATTTTTATTGATTCAGAGAGGAAGGGAGAGGGAGATATAGAAACATCAATGATGAGAGAGAATCATTGACTGGCTGCCTCCTGTACACCCACCACTGAGGATGGAGCCCACAACCCGGGCATGTGCCCTGACCAGGAATTGAACCGTGACCTGCTGGTTCATAGGTCAATGCTCAACCACTGAACCACACCGGCTGGGCAATACGTACATTTTTAAATAACAAAGGTATGGCACAATATATTCTATGTCCAGTCAATAAATAAAGCTCCACACGAGTGAGTCACTAACGGGGAGGCGAGAGAACACGGCCACCTCTCTGAAGACATATCACCACCTCAAAGGAGCCAGAGCTTGAGCAAGCAGGCTCTTGTTGGCATGTCGATAGATAAGACACCACATTAAGTTTGAGGAAGTCCTGTTGGTCAAACTGAAAGTTATAGGTAACGGATACTCCCAACAGTAGTTCGGAAGATCGTCCCTTTCCCAACACCAGCACTTTCCTCATGGCTGCTAGTCTTATAATTACCACTGGCCCACGGTCACCCAGCCCGTAAGTGGCAGGTCAGCCACGAACCCAAGCACTCTGGCTCCAGGTCTAACTCCTAACCCCTAGACTAGTACACGACATCCAGCAGCATCTACTTCTACGTGCATTTCTCATGACTAATAAGGCTGAATTATTTTTCATGTTAGCTACTTCTTCTATCAGTAGAATTTCTTGTTTATCTTTTTCAGACTAATTATAGGTGCTTCTTATAAAATCAGGCTCATACCCTTTTATGTGTCATATATGATGCTAATACTTTTTCATAGTTTATTGCTTCTCCTTTAACTGTTTACATTGTTTTTCGTGCTGATGGTCATGCTTAGAGCTCTTCTCCTCCCCAAGATTATAAAACTATTGAACTACCTTTTTTAAAAAAATTCTACATTATAACACTCAATCCACCTAGAATTTATTTTTGAATAAAGACTGAGATAAAAATCTTAATTTCAATTCCCCAAATGCTTTGGCAATGAGCCCAACATCATTTTCTGGTTAATTCATCCTTTCCTCACTTATTTGAGATGTCAAAAATTGATCAAATTGTGGAACCTGACTTTTTTTTTTAGTTTGATTTTAGATTTTCTGTTATTTTTCCATAGATCTGTCAATTCCTGCATCAATACCAGTTGGTTATATTCATTATAGCTTTATGCTAGGGGCCATGTGCCTCAATAACACAGGTGCCACCTGCTATAATAATACAACAGCATCTGAAGAAATATATGCCAAAATAAAAAGTTTTTTTCAAATAATAACAATCAATCGTATGTATATGGTCAATCATAATATGAAAAGACACTAATCTAGCAAACAGTGTGGACAAACATAGAAATCCAGTATAATGTTTCATAACATGTTCTTTAAAAATCCTATTTAAATTAGAAGATATGTCAGGAACTTACTTTAGCGACATATATCACTCAAAAGTAAATCCCTGCCCTAACCGGTTTGGCTCAGTGGATAGACTGTCGGCCTGCGGACTCAAGGGTCCCAGGTTCGATTCCGGTCAAGGGCATGTACCTTGGTTGCGGGCACATCCCCAGTAGGGAGTGTGCAGGAGGCAGCTGGTCGATGTTTCTCTCTCATCGATGTTTCTCACTCTCTATCCCTCTCCCTTCCTCTCTGTAAAAAATCAATAAAATATATTTTTTTAAAAAAGTAAATCCCTGACATTTGTGACTAAATAACACAACAAAACACAGAAGGCTTCCTAGCATGGGCCTCACTGACAGTGCTCCTCGGCAGTCCATGTGCAGCTGCCGAGTGTGACTTGTGCTGTTTCATTAGTCACTGACCACAAAGGTGTGTCAGAGGCATAAAGCCTTCACCTGCTCACAGCTCTCCCAACATCTTCACTCCTGCTGCCAGATAATCTTTGGGTGAACATATAAGTAGAATTAGAGTGACATCTAATGGTCACAAAATATGTAACAGCATTTCTTTAAACTAGAACTGCATGCCTTTTCCAGGTTGCAAGGCTAATTCGAGCCATTTTCCAACTGCACTCACTAGGCTCCTATTTCAGATTTCAGGACTTGGTCGGCCCGGAGTGATCTGGACAACTATGGAAACCATGCCGCATGTTCTACAGACGTCACCCTTCCTCATTCCACATTAGTTCCCACCAGGTCCGCGTCTCTCAAACTATCCATTCATCAAGTGAGGCTGATAATAAGCAGGCTACTGAGCAATAACCTGCCAATCATTTAAAATAACCCTCCGCAGAATTCTGAGCATAACTTCCGAAAAGAACTATTTGCATTCGGAGCATTTGGAGAGCAGATAACTACTGCCCTCAGTGAGATGGTCTGAATGTACATCGTCTCGTCCTCTGAATAATTATCAGGCGGTGCTCAGGGCACCAAGAGTGGCATTTACTCTGTGGTGAGTTATCCAAGTATAATCAGCGGGGCCGCCATGCAGGCTGGGGCTCCTGCTGGCACCACCCACTCTTTCTCACCGATTCCAGCTGCTTTCAGAGTGTGGTCTTCTTTCAACATGAGTGTGTCATCATCTTCCAAACTCAGCACAAGTTCATTTGTCTAGAAAGAAGGAAAATCTGCATTTTAGCAGTACTTCTGTGCTTCATATGTGGTGAGATTTCGCAAAGACACAGAATTGTTACTTCGGGACACAGCAATGGCCTGAGTCACATTCTACCCCCGTCACTGTAAGAAGAGAAGAGAATGGACAGTGAGCACCTCAGTGCGCACACTGTGGAAAGCACGAGGGAGACAGTGCTACAGCACACCGCTTTAGAGCTCCACCAACGTCCAGCTGTGTGCTCTCAACCAACTACACAGCCTCTCTTAGACACGTTTCCTCATCTGAACAAAAGGAGGAAAGGATACATCTTCTCTATTACTTTGTGGTAAGGATGAAATGAGATGAAGCATATAAAACACTCAACACAGTGTCAGTCGCATAGGAAGAACTCTCTGTTAGCTATTAACCGTTCTCTTGCTGTCACTGCCACACCATCACCACCACCACCATCACCACCACCCCGTATCATCATCATCCTCTCATATCATCATCATCATCACCATCTCATCAGCATTATGACAACCATCTTAGCCCCCCACCACCATCATCACCATTCCTAACATCATCATCATCATCATCATCATCATCATCATCACCACCACCACCACCATCACCATCACCATCACCATCACCATCATCACCATCTCATCCTCACAATATTCCAGGACAAATCAGAGAGGTTAAGATACAGGCCCAGAGCAGGGTGGTGAAGACCTGGGGTGAGTTGGGGCTGGGAAGAGGGAAGGGAAGGGGGGTAAATGGGAGACACCTGTAATATTATCAACAATTTAAAAAAGAAAATGATACAGGCCCAGAGTACATGGCTGACCCAGAGTACTCTAGGCTTGTATCTGATCAGTCTGACTTCTGAGGTAAACAAGTTTACCTCGATGGCCAAAATCCATATAGCTAACACCTCGCCCTAGCTAATAAACACTTGCTCCCATGTCATATTAACTATCACCTTTCTCTATGTGATTTGGGGTGGGGGTAGATGAATCTGCGCTACAATATTTACAAATCCAGTTAAAAATTATAAATATTGGAGAAAATTTGAGTTGCTATCTGTCCCTAAACAGCACACAGAGGTGACCACTAGTTGGGCACACAGTACCACTTGTCAACTAGAACATGGCTGTGTAGCAACGTTTTCTATTTCTAGAGTGCGGCTGAGAGGGAGCATCAGCAGGAAGGCCTCTCAGCAGGCCCAGCAGCCATGCTCCACCGGACACACCTTCACTCACTAGAGAGCACAGGGGCGTGACCTCCGGAGCACACAGATTATAGGGGGAAAAGACCTTTATTAAAAGTATCATTTTACAATAGGTCATACTCGTGATAAAAAAGTCTCTAAGTACATATGGACAGAGAGTGAAGTCAGTCTCCTCCTAACCCAGGGGTGGGCAAACTTTTTGACTCGAGGGCCACAGTGGGTTCTTAAACTGGACCGGAGGGCCGGAACAAAAGCATGGATGGAGTGTTTGTGTGAACTAATATAAATTCAAAGTAAACATCATTACATAAAAGAGTACGGTCTTTTTTTTTTTTTAGTTTTAGTCATTTCAAATGGGCTGGATCCCGCACATGGGCCATAGTTTGCCCCCGGCTGTCCTAACCCCTATCCAGCAGCTATGCAGTTCTCCACAGAACCAGTACCGATTCCTGTGTGACCTCCCAGAGACTGTCCCTGGCGTGTACATGCAGGCAGAGATGTGCATGGAAACTGTGTTCTCACACGTTACTTTTTTTCTCCTAAAATATAGCTTAAAACTTTTCAAAATCAGTGTAAGAGCTGCCTCATAACTTATCAAGGCTGCAGCATATTCCATTGAAGGGACACAAACACACATACACACACATGAGTCCCTATTGATGGCATTTAGGTCGTTTCCAATCTCTTGTTACCATGAACAAACCTGCAACAAGTATCCTGTACATGTATCATTTTGCATATGTACAAGTTTTATAGAAAAGATAAATTCCTAAAAGTAGAATTGTTGGGTCAGAGAGTACTTGCAATTTTTGTTTTGAAAAGTTGCATTTTGACGAATTTTAATTTGCAAGCTACTCCCCAGAGAAGTGGTGCCAACTTACATTAACACTGTCAATTGCTGAGAATACCTATTTCCCACACCTTTGCTGACATGTATTATCCAAACCATCTGATCTTTGCCAACTCAATAGATATAGATTAAGTACAGTCTTAATTTGTATTATTTTATTATGGGTAACACTTTGAATATTTTCTGCTTTTTAATGAACTTGCAGGATAATTTTTTAAAATAGAATTACAGAATATCATTATTTACTAACAAAATGAGGCCTTTTCTATCAGTTAGAAAATTTTCCCCAGTTTTCATTTGTTCTTTGATTTTTCTTAGAGCATTTTCAAGTAGAATGCTGAATTATGAAAAAATAATTAATGAACCCTAGCCAATTTGGCACAGTGGACAGAGTGTCAGCCCAAGGACTGAAGAGTCCTGGGTTTGATTCTGGCCAAGGGCACATAACTCGGTTGCAGGCTCAATCCCTGGCCCTGGTTGGGGCACATGCTGGAGGCAACCAATTGATGTGTCTCTCTCACATCGATGATTCTCTCTCTAATGTCTCTCCCCCTCCCTTCCACTCTCTCTAAAAATCAATGGAAAAATATCCCTGGGTGAGGACTAACAAAAAAAAATGAAAAATAAATGAAATAAAATGTATCAGTCCTTTATAGTATCATACTTAGAAAGACCTTCACTCTTAGATTATTTTTAAAATACCATGTTTTCTTCAAGTATTTTTATTAATTTCATCCTTTAAACTTTGAATTACGAAGAATTTCAAACATACAATGTAGAGAATAGTACAATGAACCCTCCATGTACCCATCACCCAGCTTGAACAAATTATCCACTAATGTCCAATCTGTTTCATCTCTACCCCATGGATAAGTTTCATTTTCACATTTAAGTCATTAATCCAATAAAGAAAAGGCTATGGATTCAACTTAACTATTTTCTAGATGTCTACACGGTTGTCCCAATAACACTTACTAAATCCTCCACATATTTGAAATGCCGTATTTACTATAAACTAAAATTCCTATATATGTTTGGGTCTATTTCTGGACTTTTAATTCTATGCTGTTGAACTCACGGTTCATGTGACAGTACCATACTGTTTTAATTACTATCGTTTTATAATATGTCTAATTAATGCTAAGGCCAGTCGCTCTCATTTCTCTCATTTTCCTGACTATTATTCATCATTTATATTTTGCATATTAGTTTTATAATCATAAAACTATGTTGGGCTTGTTCATATGCTCATGTTTCTTAAAAACTGTTGTTAGTATTTTGTTGGGGTGGCATTAAATTTGTAAATTAGTAAAGAAAGACCATACATCTTCATGCTGCACCTTGCCCTCCAAAATATTTTAAGTATTTCTACTTAAATCTTATTTTGGATCCCTCTTTACACATATATATTTTTTTATTAAAATCGAGGTAGAATTTCACATAAATAAAATGCACATATCTTCAGAGGAGTTCAGTTTAATGAGCCTGGACAACTAAAGATCTTCACTAGCATTTCAAAGTTTTCTAATTAAAGATCTCTCACATCTATATATATAAATGCCTAAGCGACTGTCAGACCTTCTGACCGGTAGCTATGATGTGCACTGACTACCAGGGGGTAGACGCTCAATGCAGAGGCATGGAAACATGAAACAGACTGATGAATCTCAGAGGGAAGGGGGAAGGGAGGAGGGCGGGAAAAGATTAATCAAAGATCTTATATGCATAGAGGCCCAGTGCATGGATTCGTGCACCTGTGGGGTCCCTCGGCCTGGCCTGTGGGGATTGGGCCAAAACCAGTAGTCTGACATCCCCTGAGGGGTCCCAGATTGCGAGAGGGTGCAGGCCAGGCCGAGGGACCCCACTGGTGCAAGAATCTGTGTTATTTTAAACTATAGGGAAAAAATGTTACTAATTCATAATCAATATACATACCCTCATGCTATTTTCTTTATAATCTGTGCTATACAGTTATTTGAAATCTGACTGAAGTTATGGAGGGCATCTATGACCAGAGAAGGGAATGAAATGAAGTGAACTTATGAATAAATACTTCATTCAAAAATTGCTATGGAAACATGCCTCTGAATGAGACACTGTGCTAGGTGCTGGAGCTAGGAAGAAGCAGATATGCTCCCTGGTCCTTGACTAGTTTGTATAACAAGTAAGGTAGTTATAGTTATGAGTCAATACAAGGGTCATTGAGATTCAAGGAAAAGGATAACGCTAGTCTGTGTTGTAAGAAGCAAACCTTTGATTGTGGCTTCATACAAAATTACTCTAAAAAAGTAATGAAACAGAAATGTAAACACACAATAAACACATAAACAAGCAGTTCAATGCAGGGCAGGTAAGACAACGTTAGGATTTCAGATTTGCTCCCAGAGCCAAGTCCTGGGCCCTCTCTTACACAGTGAGAGCCAAGTCAGAAAAAGCAGATCATTTTTAACTTCTTTGGGCTCCTTCCTTCCCTTACAGGATTAAGAAAATGTAAGAGATTGACTTGCCAGATAATGTGGCTTCCTTTATATGTAACCCAAATTTACAAAGTTTTATGCTTATTTTCTGTTAAATATTTGCTTGAGATACAACATGTATCCTTTTTTTAAAAAAAAAATAACGCATTTAATTTTTAAAATTTTTTTGTTAATCCTTACCCGATGATATTTTTCCATTGATTTTTTTAAAAGAGAGTAGAAGGGAGGGGAAGAGACAGAGAGAGAGAAACATCGATGAGAGACAGACACACTGACCGGTTTGCCTCTCACACACACCCTGATCAGGGCTGTGGATAGAGCCTGCAACTGAAGTACGTGCCTTTAACCAGAATAGAACCCGGGACCCTTCAGTCCATAGGCCGATACTATCCACTGAGCAAAACTGGCCAACACAAAAAAAATTAACACATTTTAAAGGATCTACTATGAACAGGCATATGACTTAGATTTTTGCTTCTTTAATGGAAGAGTAAAGCTGTAGTAGGGGTTTTTACAAAATAAAAAACACTATTATGATGAAAATATTTTAGAAGTTCATGTCTTCATTCATTTATTCACTAAGTCAACCAACACTGATTACTTGCTATGTACCAGATACTGTACCTTCGATTTATGTGCTTGATGAATAATCTTCAATTTATCTGAAAGAAAAGCAAATTATCTTTTTACAAAGATTATTCTAAAACTTCATTTCTAATTATTAAAGAGAGATGAGGGGAAGGTGGCTATGACATTAAAATATTTAAGTCCTTACTTTATGGACCATGTTCTCTTAAAACTCTACTATGCAGTAAAAGAAAAATTACTTTTGCATATCATTAAAATTAAAGATTACTGTAAAAAGACATTTTAAAGCCTTGGTCTTTAACACACACAGCGGTGTGTGTGTCATAACCTGAAGTCAACTCCGCACATGTCCCTCAGAACAGAAGACAAGTGAGCCGTATCACTTTATCCTGTTCTTTGAAGTTGCCAAATGCTAAGATTAGTAAATCGTGTAAAAAAATTGTCTTAAATTAAGACAGACATTGTCAAAAACAGTTCCAAAATATTCACTAATCACTCAGAATAGATCCAGTGACAGGAGGTAAAATGATCACAGTGACAAGTCATTACCACGCCAGGAACTCAAATAGCATCGAAGATCACTGGAAATCTGAACAACGCAACTCACGCACAGGGAGTACTGATACCTGTTGCCTGGTTTTCAACCACTGCCCAGGCCTCCACGTCTACCCTGCTTTATTCAGTCCCTCTTTCGCTCCTTCCTCTGTTCGTCCTAAAGTGAGGCTACCCTGTACTTTTCCAGTAAGTAATTTCTCCACATTGGATAAAATTCTGACTGCCAACAATCAGCTCTTAATCATATAATAGACAGCATTCCACATGTTCAAATTAAGATATTTTACAATTTTCACTCAGTTTTACTTAAGCATTTAATTAATGTATTATGATTGCATGCATGTATTATTATACCTGAATAAACTCTTAACCTTAAACTGAAATTCATTTCTATCCATCACACTGTTTGATTCAATGAGGAATCCCAACAGTGAAATGAAATAACCGGATCTATTTAAAAAAACAGATCCTGAGCCCGGCTGGCGTGGCTCAGTGGTTGAGCATTGACGTATGAACCAGGAGGTCATAGTTCAATTCCCGGTCAGGGCACATGCCCGGGATGCACGTGCTTGATCTCTAGTGTGGGGCATGAAGGAGGCAGTCAAACAATGATTCTTTCATCATTAATGTTTCTTTCTCTCTCTCTCTCTCTCTCTCTCTCTCTCTCTCTCTCATCTCTGAAATTAATAAAAATATGTCTGATAAATAAACAGACCCTGATTTAACTATGTTATAACAATATAGAATAGGAGTACCTATTCAGTTAAGAACGACCACTCTGAATTATCCATTATTTAAGTAGTCAAATTTCAATTATCTATTGCAATTCTTAATGCAAAGTCAGCCTAATCCTATGTTTTGTTAAGAAAGAAAAAGAAATCTAATCTAAGTAAAATATGAACATTAGAAATGTAAATATGCCACAACTGCTAAAAATTAGCTCACAAGGGTACAAAAGAAAATAAACAAATGTGGCTTTGGATCATCTGTTATTGAGTTACCTTCTACACTCCTTTTCTCAATATAGATAGCTATCAGTTTATTACTAGAGACAAGTTAGAGAACCCAGTACTGGTTTGTAGTTGTCGCTTAGTAAAAGGACCTTGCTTAACGTCTGTTACAATCAACCTGCAAAACTGGAGTCTGGCCTTACCAAATACTAATCATGTTCTGAATATTTTGTAATGAGCCACTAAATTAGAAATATCTTTGTTCTAATAAGTCTTGCAACACACAATAAAAAGGCCACCTTTTTTTTGCATAAAATAAATGTTCTGAATGGAAATTTTCACCAGATATTTCTCTCCAACAGAAATTGGTAAGACTTGAAAGAGATAGAAAAGAGAATGACGAGCTAGCAAAAGGTGTATTAATGTCCCTTCCTTTGCTCAATGATCTTTTACTTGTTTTTACTTCTTAAAAAAAAAACTTCAGAAGCAACATCTGTGGGTATTGTTTCCTTAATGCAAATTCCTTGAGGAAAGTAACCTCATAAAAATAAAAATGTTTTATATTTGTGGAGTATTTAACGTGTTTGCATGTGCACTGTTTAATCTCATGCAGCCATATAAAACAAAGAGGATCAGCAGCCCCGCACTGCACAATGGATGTGCCTGGGCAACAAGGACTTAAAAATAAGACAACATGCCCTGTGCTGTAGGAACACAGTCTGGTCAAGGTACATAAATAATACATGTAGATACCAATTAAATGAGAGGAATCTCTACCTATAAAAGCCTAAGCGACCTTTATGACCGAACGACTGGAACGACCAGTCAACCGGTCGCTATGATGTGCACTGGCCACCAGGGAGCAGACGCTCAACACGGGAGCTGCCCCCTGGTGGTCAGTGCGCTCCCACAGCGGGAGCGCTGCTCAGCCAGAAACTGGGCCGACAGCTGGTGATCACAGCTGCAGCAGTGAGAGCCTCTCCCACCTCCGTGGCAGTGCTAGGGGAGGGGGGGGCAGGGGGGTGGGAGGGGGGGGGCGGCAGCAGGTGCAGCGGGGCTGGGATGAGCAGCAGCAGCGCTGCACCCGGCTCCCAGCTGAGGCTCCTCCCTGGCCACCTGCCACTTCGGCTGCTACATCCCATGAGGGGTCCTGGATTGTGAGAGGGCATAGGAAGGACCCCACCCATGCATAAATCCGTGCACTGGGCCTCCAGTACATTTATAAATAAATGAAGGGCTCTGAAGAGCCTCAGACTGTCCATGGCCTGGCCTGGCCGAGAGAACCAGCCCTTTGTCCCAGGGCAAGGAGACAGCAACTAACAAAACTGAAATTCGCCTCTGTGCCCTTTCCACTCCCTAACACCCAAAGAGTTCTGGTCCCACAGGGCACGTAGCAGCACTGGACAGTGACTGGTGAGAAAGTAACACTTCGGCCTTCCTTGTTGAACACAAAGCAGCAGATTGTTGAGGAGCCAAGGTCAGACAGAATCACTTGAAGTCTATCTAAGCCCTAGTACTTCTCTCGTTTCTCACAGATAAGCATATTCACTTTTCCTGCCAGTTCCTCTGAATAGTGCAGGAATACTAGGACAAAAAGATGTCAATAAGGTAAAATCATGTAAAAGGTACATACCTACCATGATGACTGGCAGCCAGATTGTGACCTTCATTATCTAAAACTTATCTCTCAAAATAACTTACACGAAACACAAGTCTGAATATAGATACAAACCATGCAGAAGAGGGGAGCCATGTATAGGTTTTCTGCGGAAATGGCGTCTGAAGACTGATTCAAGCTTCAGGTGCTATTTCAAGGCATCGTGTTTTGAAAGCCATGAAGGCCAGAACTGAGAAGTTTCATATTTACCTAATCATACCTTTCATTCCTTTCTCTTACTCAGTATTTAGTATGCAGATTCTTTAAGTCCAATAAATCAAAGTGCTTCCCACTCAGTGCCTTCAGCTTCTGCCTGGCTACCCCCAAGGACCTCACAATTAGTCTCTGGATATTAAAATGCATATGCACGGGGAAGACTGTGATTTCAAAGAATTTTAGGTCAGAAGTTGCTCTACCAAATGGGAACAGAATTAAAAGCTACTCCAAAAAAATGATCTAGGTAATAAAATATTTATACTTTAAAATGTCTATACCAATTAGCAGAAATATTTATTAGGTGCACCATAATTCTCAAGAGAAGCCTCAGTTTGGTGAGTATCACTATGCTGAAGGTTAATAACCAACTGTACTATCTTTATAACGAGCAGTGAAACCCAGCTTACTACTGCCTATTACTACATTTAAAATCAATAATTGTAACATGAAGACCTGGGGCAGGGGCGGGGGGTGAGGGGGGGGGTAGTCTGGAGGGGGTCAAAGGGGGAAATAAGGGGACATATGTAATACTTTCAACAATAAATACTTAAATAATAATAATAATTGCAACATAAAAATTATTGCACAACACGCTCAAGTTACTGGCATTTAAAATCTTAAATATCTTCTTTTTACTCCTAGTCTTTAATCATTTCTCCTTTTCTGATTACCCGGCAAAGAAATTCATTTCAGACACAGTTTGCCAACATGTTATTCCTCGCAAACAGGCCACTTCCCTGCACAATCACATGTACTTTAAAGACACACTATCAGAATTCCTATATTTCTAAATAAATGCCCATATTGGTTTTTACTTACAAATAGTAAATTCTTTTTTGAAAACCAAATTTAAATTCATATCAATGTAAAACTAATGTGACATACATTAATATATGCTTTAAAATAATAAGAAAAATTGGTTACCATATTTGTAATTTCTGAATGGTGGTGGCAGGCTGATCCTTAAAGGAATATCTATAAGAAAAAGATCATTTTTATTATAAAAAGTATATGCAGTCTTTTGGTTCTGTACTCCCATACCTCCAGTCTAAACTACTTTAAAAAAAAACAAAAAAACAACTGATGGGGCACAAAACAAAGCTGACATCCTGGCAAGGTCCAAGGTCATGTGAAACAAGGAAACCACTGATGAGATCCGAGCTGCTACCAGCTGAGCCAAGAATTCAGCGACACTACTGAATAAACTGGCATTTTAGTAAACACTAGAGGGCCGGTGTACGGATTCATGCACATTGAAAGGAAATTAATTAGAAGAAATATTTTAGAGGCCAGGAAGGGACCGCGGGAGGTTGGCTCCAGGGTGTGTCTGGCCTGTCTGGCCCAGTCCCAATTGGGGCCAATCAGAGCTGGGGAGGGACCATGGGAGGGCTCCAGGGCATGTCCGGCCTTCTCACCCAGTCCCAATCTGCCGGACCCCAGCAGCAAGCTAACCTACCGGAATGTCTGCCCCCTGGTGGTCAGTGCGCATCATAGTGACTGGTGAAAAGTTGGACACTTAGCTATATTAGGCTTTTATTTTATAGGACAATCTCACCTATGTACATTTGAAATACAGAGTTCACATGTATGACATTATCTTTTTATATAGTTGATGTTCGTTTAGCATGTAAATCTGGGAACCCCTTGAGAGTCTTTGGCCCATAGTGGAAACCAATGATCTAGAACAATCTTAATTCTCTTACCAAAATTCAGATAACTCAGCAAAGAAAACAAAAACAGAGCAAATATTCTTTTTAAAACAGTATTACAAACATCGATATTAGCTTTAACTAATAACATCTGATGCTACAACCCTACAGAGGGCAATTTGGTAATATACATCAAAAATAACATGTGCATCCATTCCACTTAGAGAATTTATCATATAGACTTTGCAGACACCTGTGTGTATACATACAAATGTAGGAACTTTAGCTTGTTTAAAATAGCAAATGCTTAGAAAAATCCAAAAGTCCTTCACTGGGGGTACTTGTCAAATAAATTAGAATATGCCCAAACAATGAAACATTTTTCAAATGTAAAACAATCAAAAAAAGGAGTAGGAAGCTCTCTACTAATATAAGATCTTCAAGACATGTTGACAGCAAAGAAGGCATAAAGTTGAACATTATTTTTAATAAGCCACATTTTGAGTAAAAAGAAAAAATAAGAATATATGTTTGCATTGCTTATACTTTGATGGGAGGGAGCATGCTGTACTGGTCAGATAGAGAACGTAAGTGAGAAGAAGACTTTCACTCTATTCCCTTTTATATTTTGATCTTAAAACTGCATGAATGTGTTACCTATTAAAGTAAACTCTAAAAACCCACACATCTGAATTAGAAAATGTGTTTTTTGTTTTGTTTTTTAACGATTTGTCTTTATTTATTTTATTATTATTCTTTAATCCTCACTCAAGGATATTTTTCCATTCATTTTTTAGAGAAAGTGAAACAAAGCGGGAAAGATAGAGAGAAATATCGATGTGAGAGAAACACATTGATTGGTTGCCTTCTGTACACACCCTGACCAGGGCCCGGCCAGGGAGGAGCCTGCAACTGAGGTACATGCCCTTGACCTGAACCAAACCTGGGACCCTTCAGTCCGCAGGCTGACACTCAATCCACTGAGCCAAACTGGCTAAAGCAGGAAATGTGTTTTTTAAGTACATATGCTTTTTAGAGGTCAAACACATACTGAAATTAAAATACAACACATTCATTCATGTTACAGCATTTAAATTACCAGATATTTCAGGGACAGGGTCAATAAGAAGTTACCACCCAACTAGTGTTAAGCCTCAACCTATGAACCAGGAGATCAGAGTTCAATTCCCAGTCAGGGTATATCCCCAGTAGGAGGTGTGCAGGAGGCATCCAATCAATGATTTTCATCATTGATACAGTGGGGCCTTGACTTATGAGTTTAGTTCATTCCGAAACCACCGAGCTCGTTAAGGAGCTCGTTAACTCAAATTACTCTATCAACTCAATGCAAAAAATCAGCCGAGAGACAGCTGGTATCTCAAAAAACTCGTTAGTCGGGACACTCGTAAGTCAAGGCCCCACTGTATTTCTATCTTTTTCTCTCTTTCCCTTCTTCCTTCTGAAATCACTAAAAATATACTTAAAGAAGAAGTTACCAAAACAAGTCCCCACTCTTGAGAGCCCATGTTCCTGTGTAAATCCTGTAACAAAGGTATGTTCACAGCCAGGGCTACGTCTTGAGTGTGATTCTCACCTGCTGCACATTACAGTCGCTCAGCCCAGCACTAGAGCAGACTTGCAACAGGCTGGTTCCAAGAATAAATGTTTAAATATAAAATAAAAACTTCCTGAGATGATTCTGAGACAAACGAAGTTTACAGGGGCAGCCAGATGACATAAGTGAATGAAGTGGGTGAAACAGAAGGTGGCCGTGAGATCTGATAGCAATGCACCTGTGGACCCTGAGAAAGAAGATACCTACCCAGAAGGCTACTGATGGCTAACTGGTCTCAAATGTAAAAGCAGAGTCTAGCAGCCATTTCTACACAGGGGCCTCTCATGCAAACCACACTTCAGGGAGAAATCTGGACTGAACTGCCTGCCTGCACTGTGTTCCTGCCATCTGAGCCAGCCCTTATAAAGGAGTTCCTGGAATCCTATTTTAACCAATAGGATTGAGGCTTTCTCCATCCATTGGAACTGCACAGCATCTCCTATCAGCATCTTCACTAATCAATCAGGGCAGCTCCACTCTGACCAGTCAAGGCAGTGACTTTTGAACTAGTCAAACTGTGAGAATTTGGAGTCCTCATTTGCATGAGCATGAACCAATCAGGGACCAGGGGTGCAGATCTCTGTCTAGTAAACTAGCTCCCCTCTGGCCCCGAAGTGCATTTTTCCCTTCCACTGAAGACTAAAGACTGCATTTCCCTGGCTGGAGCTCAAACACCAGAGATGAAACACTAAAGACATCTCACCAGACCACAATGGAGCAGAGCACAGCAAGCAGTGTGTAGTAGACTGGCACAGAGCAAGTTGGCACTGCACGGCGCAGGGCAGAGTGAAAGAAGCAGGTGGAGCAGATCGGGGCTGCATCTCCCCAGGGCCACCTCATAGCTGTGCTGCTCCACAGCTGTGCTGCTTCACAATTGAGCCTGCCCCTTGAGTGTGTCACTCATGTATGTGTAAAGTTATAATATGGTATGTTCTGAAGCTGTCCACCAGGTGCACTGGCTCTGGGGCTTCCTGAGAGGTGCAAAGTCAGCCACTGCCTGGGGCCACCCAGCAGGAGCTACAGAGCAATCTACAGATGGCTGCTACTTGTGGTGGGCTTAGCAGAGCCCAGGGGAGGCCAAGCTGTTTTGGACCTCTTATTGCTAGGTATGGGTCACACTGACACCAGTCACTGCTTGTTTGAGAGATTTTAGCAAAGTCTAAAGCCTGACCAAGGACAGGGCATTCATATGAAAAAGCCACTGCAAACAGTTTGGGTGGGGCTTCAAATTGGATGGGGCTGAGCTCAGGGAATCACCAGGGTGGAGTGAATACAGTGAGCTAAGCTGATGGAAACGCAGATATGGCTGCTAGTCAGCTCTGCGGCTGCGGAGGCCTCCACACAGGAACAATGACCCCTGCAAGCATCCCTGTCTGAGAGAAAGCCGCTCCAATGCCAGACAATCCAGTTCCTCCCCATATGTCCCTGGATCTCCCCAAGCTGTTGCCCCAGTGCTGGAGCCCAGAGGAAGCAAGTCTATGTAAGTTCATGTGCAGGCTCTTAAAGAGGAACTGCCTGCATTTCCAGCAGCCTCACTGTCACTCAGCCACAATTCCCACTGGTTTTTAAAGCCCGAAGTTATGGGGACTTCTCTTCCCAGCTCTGGAACCCTGGGCTGGGGGTCTGGTATGGGGCTGGGACCCCAGTATGGGGCTTGGACCCCTTGATCCTCATAGGAGGCCTCTGCAGCTAAGATATCCCTCCTTATAAAAACGGCACATGTGGGTGTTGGACCAGCCTGTTCCGTGCCTCCGCCCCTCCTACCAGTCTCAGTGTGCTTTCTTCTTTACTTCTCTAGTTGTAAGACTTCCATTCAGCCGGCTTTCAGGCAATTCTCAATGATGGCTGTTCTGTATTTTAGTTGTAATTTTGATGTGGCTGTGGGAGGTGGCAAGTACTGGCGTTTACCTATGCTGCCATCTTGGTTCTCTCCTCTGGCTGTTTTTCAGATTTTCTCTTTATTACCAGTTATAAGCAATTTGATTATGATATGCTTTGATGTAGCTTTTTTAGGATTTGTTAAACTGCCTGGATATGTGGGTTTATAATTTTCACCACATTTGTAAAATTTTCAGCCATAATTTCCTCAAATAGGTCTTCTGTCTTCTTGTCCCAGATCTTCTCCTCATGGACTCCAATCCTATCTAATAACAGACAAATATGGTAATTAACCATACCTTCGTTATGCCTCCCATTGGCTAATCAGTGAGATATGCAAATTAACCCATCCAAGATGGTGGCCGGCAGCCATGCAGCTGAAGCGAGCAGGAGGCTTGCTTGCTCCAGTGATGGAGGAAGCTAAGGTTCCCTGCCTGCCGCGGCCCGGTTCTGAGCTCCAAAAGCAACAAAGTTTCAATTATAGAAGCTAAACAAACCCCAGATACCTGCTTTCAGCAGGCCGGGCCTCAGAGCTGGAGTGAGTAGGAGCCGGCTCTCAGCTCCAGTGATGGCAACAAAGTTTCAATTATAGAAGGTAAATAAATCCCAGAATAAAAAAAAAGAAAAGAAAAAAAGGAGCAGCTGGGAGCTTCGGTGGCCGGCCAGCCTGAAAACAGCCATCAGCCCCTCATCCAGGCTGGCCAGGCACCCCAGTGGGGACCCCCACACTGAAGGCGATGTGACCAGCTGCAAACAGCCATCAGCCCCTCACCCAGGCTGGCCAGGCACACAAGCGGGATCCCCACCCTGATCCAGGACACCCTTCAGGGCAA